CTTGCAATCCCGAGTATTGTCCGCCAACAAAGAACAACTGAGCGGCTCTCCGTCAGAGGGCAGCTAGCAAGTGAGGCGGTCCAACTGAGCGGGCGTTAGAACTAGAACTTTGAGCGGCTGTAGCTCGCTCCTCGCTCACTGTGGAGTTGCGAGAGTGGGACAGCATCTAGCTTGGGGCTGAACTACCTGTACAAGGAAGGACGACCATGGACTACTCGAGCGCGGGGGCTGTCTTTAAGGAGAATCATGAGGACCACAAAGGGTAGTTCATTTTCGCTGCGCGCTCTTGGGAAGGCCAAGGAAACGGTGCACGGTAGCAAACAGCAAGCCTCATCTTACATTACCTATATTTTATTTCTTCAGTTTCTTTCAGCCCAAATGGTCATCTATCGATTCGCGTCCCCTTCCTCATTGGTACGATGATGTGAAGTTTGGAATTTTCTGCCATTGGGGAGTATACTCGGTGCCAGCGTTCAGGTGACATTTGCATAGATTTTCACATCATATTGTCACTATGGTGTACTTCGCTGGGGATGGATGGGCGTGTCAGGCGGGATGAGTTTGGCGCGGTGCCAAACCCGTTCTCCACCAGTTGTTAAAGCGAGCAAGTGATATGACTGTATCATATCGTTCGTATTACTCGTTTTCTACCACTTTTGTCGCATGCGCGCTTCAACAAGAAGGCAGAGAACGGCTTCGACGGCGTGACACGGTCATACTGCCCGACACGCCCAACCGTAATCAGCGAACTAGAGGTAATCTTCATATTCCTAAGCTTTTATTCAGGTCTGAATGGTTTTGGTGGTACTGGAAGGGAGACGACCCAAACAAGGACGTCGTTAACTATGTGAATCGCAATTATAAGCCTGGTACCACCTACACGGATTTTGCAAAAGATGTTGGTTAAAGCTTTCTCTCAGTGAGGTTGGACAGGAATTGTACAACTGTAAAAAACTGTAGAGTCGAAAATGGGGCGAAAGCGAAGGATTGAGCTAGTTGCCTCAAGCAAATACTGAGTTAACAATGAATGGTACAAACTTATCTTGAAAATACTGTTCACTATATGACTTTTCAATAACTAACGGGTTTGCTGTATTGGTTTGAAATTTTAGTTCACTGCCGAGCTATTCGATCCGAAGGAGTTCGCAGACATCGTGAAGTCATCGGGAGCGAAGTACGCTTTGGTTTGATCACTCATTTATTTACTTGAGTCTACTTTTATTTAGCCGAAGGATTGCTCCTAGGGTTAGTCATTCCTACATTTTCCGAAAACAGTGATCGTAGTGATCGTGTGGGCGGGGTCAGTCAATCACTGTCAAAAAGCGAACCTTCCGCCACCCCACCTCTTTACCATCTTGGGAAGAAGGATGCAACAATAAGAAGGCACAAGGACTTTTTCCTATTCTTTTGAAGGCAGTTGGCACGATGGTTTCCTACTTAGCCTAAAATGCTAGTAGGGCGCTGTATAGTGGGGAAATGGCGAAAGAACGGAGTGAAACGGTCAAAATCCTGCGAAGAAAAAGCCTCCGTTCTCAGTGACTTGTAAATCGATTTCGGACGAGTTTCATCTTACCAATCACCGCTACCGAAGATACGGCTGCATATGTGTACCCATATATGCATGCAGCATCACGGCCGCTTCATACCAATAATTTGCTTAGCAAATGAATGAATACGAGCGTCAGGAACGGTCGTCCATTTGTGGGCGGGCGGGCGTGGCGTTTGGGACGTAATGTTGTGGCTTGATAGGGCCTTTATAAGGGCACCTTTCTTGCGGAAACAGTTGAAACCGCTATGCAGCGCCTGCCAGTTCCATCCTGCCACGAATATTGATGCTGATCGTCTTGGGGGATTGATCGTGCCAACTGCCTTTAAAGACACTCCCCGCGATCAAGTGGTCCTCAAAATGACTTCGTGCTTTTTGGAACCCTCTACGCCTTGACGAAGATGATACCACTTTCATCCCTCAATATGGCGCGATAAGGAAGTTATAGCGATTTCCACAAGGCTCGCTAGGCTCGCTGACACGGTAGGTGGACGAGGCGTCCGGTCCCGAGCTGCTTCCGTCCCTTTAAAGTATCCTATTTCGAAAGTCGGGACGCAATTGCGGCTGCCGCATCGATTTCTGGCAGCCACGTCCGGCACACTCGTCCAGGCCCCGCCCCCACTGCTAAAGGGAGGTCTGTGTTCAGGGTGTTCGCGAGGTTTTTTTTCGATTTTTTTTCCACTGGGGGTTACAAATGGGCCACTGCTTCGTGACTGAGCACCAATTACCCGAACACTTGATCGCGGGAATTGTCTTTAAGTGCAGCACAAGACAATGTGAGTGCTCGCTGTGAAGACTCAATCTACTAAAATAAGGAAAATAAGGATGGCTCATAATTTTGGAACACTTCATAATTACAGCTGCAGGAATTTTCGGAAAATATTGTGAAGTTTTGCGGTACCCCTCCTGACCGGCTGCCCCCTCCCTAGCCCGCTGCTTCTCTTGGCACGTCTTCCAATTTCGGGTTTCTCTAGAGATCTGTTGTTTATGAGAGCCGGTTAAGACGCTGTTTGCCTGAAAGCCGAGCTGCACAAATCACCAAACAAGTGATTGCGATACCACGTCCTCTCAAGCTAAGATCTCAGAATCTCCTGAACTTTAGGCGTATGAGAGGCATTGAGCCGTCTTACTAACAATACCGATGATTGTGGTGCATGCTGTGTTTAGCAGCTGAGTAAAAACGAAAGACCTGACATGTTATATTTGATAAAGTTCTGAAGATTATTGGAGAAGTTATCTTCTCCTTCTCTGAGAGTTCGTCCCTCACGTTAGAGAACATCAATTGCAGGTACTTCGTCCTCACAAGCAAGCACCATGAAGGTTTCACAATGTGGCCTAGCAGAACCAGCTGGAACTGGAACGCAGTTGATATCGGTCCTAAACGGGATATTGTTGGTAAATAACTACCAATGTTTGATATTTGAAATGAAAGGAAACCTGTGAGGAAAAAACTTTTTCTCTCAAAAACAGGAGGCAGGGAAAATAAAAGCGAAAGGGCATCCGCATACGGTGCTTTAGGAGTCTAAACAGATTATTAAGGAAAAAATGAAACTGCGTCATTCCCAGTTTCCGCCACAGTGCTGCACCGACGTAAAGTAGATGACAAGCGTAAAAGTGTATGTCACGGCAATGTTCTTGACGCGCGGATGGTGCAGCCATCACATTAACTTAATTCTAACGTTTTCCACAGTAGACTTTATGAGATCGTATTCAGGAGAAATCAAGGATGCATTCAAGGGAACTGACGTTCATTTCGGTCTCTATTTCTCACAATTTGAATGGTTTCATCCAATGTTTCTTGATGATAACAAGTACAACACAACAGCTTATGTCGATGTGAGTGAATTCCAGCAACTTTAGTATGTCTTCGCAGTTTTGAATTCAACACATAATTTTGCATCCAGAAGCAATATTCTACGTCACATTTTCCAGCAAATCTCCTTCCCACAAATGATTGAAATAGTCAATCGGTAC